AAAATCTCTCAATAACGAGTACTCAATCACTGCCCATGCTATCACAAGGGTTGGTATTCATAGCAATAAAGTTGATTTGAAAATATTTAAAGAGTCAGTGTAAAATAAGATAAATGTAATTAAAATAAAAAATTTGAATCGCCCCCATCCCCATGTGCTCATGTGCAAATACAAATGCGCATGTAGGTCCCACATGCATATGTAAATGGTGATCGCACATGATTCTAGTGCCAGACCTCTGTTTAACTATAAACTGATAACCTGTAAAGGCTTTTACAGCGTCCCCTATGGATAATTTAATGTACCATAGTTTGTTGCCATTCCATGGGCGTGCACAATTTTAAAGTATTACATGTTAAGTATCTACTTACTCGGGTATAATGCCATCTTTTATATTTTACAATAAAATGGTGTGCTCACTAAAATTAATTAAAGTGTATTTTTCCCCTGAAAATTTGTGTTTGATAAATCACTGCGCAAATATTGTGTGATATAAAATATTGCAACAACCACCATTTTATTCTCCAGGGTCTTTGCATTCAGAAAATATGTTTAATCATCTAGAGTCACCTATAAGTGACAAAAATCTTTTTTGTACTTTATCTGCACCTTAATACTGTCTTACATAAATGTGTATATATGCTCTAAGTACAATAATTTAGCGCTGCACCCCCCCTTTATGTATATTGACTATTTTGGAGGTTTATACGGTACCTTTTTTGGTGTTCAGCTGCTATTATCTCAATTTATTCAATTTTATTCATTGTTATCATTTTATTTTAAACGCTCACTTATCCTGTGATTTACAGAAAATATATTATGTTTGGGGTTTCTAAGTAATTTTTTTTGCAAGAAGTGCAGATTTTTACATGTACAGTATGTGAGAAATGTCAGAGTTGGCCTGAACAGAATGTGGTTAAACAGGCCTGTTAAGTCTAGAATGTACAGGTGCAACTCGAAAAATTAGAATATCGTGCAAAAGTTCATTTATTTCAGTAATGCAACTTAAAAGGTGAAATTAATATATGAGAGAGACTCATTACTTGCAAAGCAAGATAGCTCAAGCCGTGATTTGTCATAATTGTGATGATTATGGCTTACAGCTCATAAAAACCCCAAATCCACAATCTCAGAAAATTAGAATATTGTGAAAAGGTGCAATATTCTTGGCTCAAAGTGTCCCACTCTAATCAGCTAATTAAGCCATAACACCTGCAAAGGGTTCCTGAGCCTTTAAATGGTCTCTCAGTCTGGTTCAGTAGGAATCACGATCATAGGAAAGACTGCTGACCTGACAGTTGTGCAGAAAACCATCATTGACACCCTCCATAAGGAGGAAAAGCCTCAAAAGGTAATTGCAAAAGAAGTTGGATGTTCCCAAAGTGCTGTATCAAAGCACATTAATAGAAAGTTATGTGGAAGGGAAAAGTGTGGAAGAAAAAGGTGCACAAGCAGCAGGGATGACCGCAGCCTGGAGAGGATTGTCAGGAAAAGGTGTTGGGGACTTTAACAAGGAGTGGACTGCGGCTGGAGTCAGGGCATCAAGAGCCACCACACACAGATGGATGCTGGACATGGGCTTCAAATGTCGTATTCCTCTTGTCAAGCAGCTCCTGAACAACAAACAACGTCAGAAGCGTCTTACCTGGGCTAAAGAAAAACAGACCTGGTCTGTTGCTCAGTGGTCCAAACTCCTCTTTTCTGATGAGAGCAACTTTTGCATCTCATTTGAAAACCAAGGACCCAGAGTATGGAGGAAGAATGGAGAGGCACACACTGCAAGATGCTTGAAGTCCAGTGTGAAGTTTCCACAGTCTGTGTTGATTTGGGGTGCCATGTCATCTGCTGGTATTGGTCCACTGTGCTTCATTAAGTCCAGGGTCAATGCAGCCGTCTACCAGGAGATTTTGGAGCACTTCATGCTTCCTTCCGCAGACGAGCTTTATGGGGATACTGACTTCATTTTCCAGCAGGACTTGGCACCTGCCCACACTGCCAAAAGCACCAAAACCTGGTTCAATGACCGTGGGATTACTGTGCTTGATTGGCCAGCAAACTCGCCTGACCTGAACCCCATAAAGAATCTATGGGGCATTGCCAAGAGAAAGATGAGAGACATGAGACCGAACAATGCAGAAGAGCTGAAGGCCACTATTGAAGCATCCTGGTCTTCCATAACACCTCAGCAGTGCCACAGGCTGATAGCTTCCATGCCACGCCACATTGAGGCAGTCATTGCTGCAAAAGGGGCCCAAACCAAGTACTGAGTACATATGCATACTTATACTTTTCAGAGGCCCGATATTGTTCTATGTACAATCCTTGTTTTATTGATTGCATGTAATATTCTAATTTTCTGAGATTGTGGATTTGGGGTTTTCATGAGCTGTAAACCATAATCATCACAATTATGACAAATCACAGCTTGAACTAACTTGCATTGCATGTAATGAGTCTATCTCATATATTAGTTTCACCTTTTAAGTTGCATTACTGAAATAAATGAACTTTTCCACGATATTCAAATTTTTCGAGTTTCACCTGTAGGTGATATCTCTACTTCAATTAAAGAGTTACTAAGCAGATTTCATTTCGAAATACAAAAACACTTATAATCTTGTGAGACATTACTTTGTGAAAGCATGACAAATGTGTTCACAAATAAGATACAGACCGTCTGGTTATGGTTTAAAGAGACCCTGTTGCATTTTTTCTCCATAAAAAGCCATCTTACTCTAAAGAAGACAGTAAATAGCCTTTCTTTCTTTATCCTGCACTGACATGAAGTCAGATGGAGGAACCCATGAGAGCTGCAGCCAAACACAAGGAAATTCAATACTCATGGAAGTGTTGATTTCCCAGCAGATTTCCGGGGACCAGTTCTACTAATCAGAGTAAAGTTCAGCAGCACGGGTACTGGTAAATTTACCGCATTCTTTTTAAAGTGGGGGTTGTAAAAATGAGGCAAAGCAGCTTTGGTGCCATGATAATTATACTGTATAAACTCCAATATGTACAAAACAAACCAGTAACACAAACAACTTTAAAGGGTGACCATTTTATTGAATAGTATGCAACAACGGTCATGAGCATGTACAAGCACATGATTCTACAGGCAGTGCAAAACATTGATTGTCCTTGTAACAGCTACATTTAACATCTTGCTAAAAACAGTTAAAAAATAACAAACATAACAATAAAAGCACACAAATGTCACATTCACTCTTTTGGCTTTTTTTGATTTGCCATTATTTGCAAATACTGACCTAACAACAGGCCTAAAGCATGACTGACTTCACAGCTTTTGATAGGCGACTACAGTTGCCATCCCACGATCAATGTACTAATGGTAAAAGCTGCAGAGTGAAACTTGCCATATTTATTATGTCACAACATAAACACTGATTTGTTATCTCTCTTCTTTAGTATTGTTACTTCCTTCACTTGACTTGATTTTGCATGAAAACATTTACTGTACAAAGAATGTCAGAAACTGAAATGACCAAATATGCTGTGACCGACATAAGTATTAAGTACAATCATCTTCAAGATTGCTCCCTAAAAAAGTTAGATACGACAGGCGGGTTGATTTGATCAGCAAAACAACCCAGCACAATACAATCTGTATTGATGACTGACTTTAAGAAATGAACATTATATTAAGCTGCCTAAAAAGTGCCTATTAACATGCTGTCCCAATCTGAACTAGGTAATAAAAGTTGTTGACTATCAGTCTAGAAGTATGACGATCCACTGTAGCACAGCACACAGGTTTTATTCAGACACTTCATTAAGGCCGCACAGTGGAATAGGAATGTATACCTTTTAACTAACCAATCCTGATGAAGGAGTGTCGATGTGCAGTTTCGTTTCACTAAATCTTGCATACTGTATACATACAATGCTTCAGCTGTCTCATAGCTGGCAGGTGATCCAGACAAGACAGACTTGGCTCTAACCTAGATGCTACAAAAGTACTATAATGACTTGCTTAACTACAGCATGCAAACTATGGTTTGACTAGTAGGCCAATATTAAGAAAATTGCCAATACTGAATCTATACATTTCAGATGGCATTTTCAGTTTAAACTTGTTAGGATGTAATTAGCAGCAATGATTCATGACTGGTAAAAGATGGAATGTTTTAGCACTTTTTTCTGCTTTGGGGGAGGGGGGGGGAGCATAGTTTTGGAATTACTTGAGTCACATAATCTTGCCTGTCAATGGTTGCCTTAAATAGAGAGCAAGTTTGTGCCACAAGAGATACATACACACAAATAAAAAAAAACCAAAACCTTCACAAATCTGATGCTAAAATTTAAAAAAAGCCTAAAATTGACAATTAAAATAGTAAACAGGAATGGCTATAACAAACATGTATAAAACAGGCATACTGACAGCATAAGGCCTTAAAAGGTAAAAAATAAATCCAACTATAGACATCTTTGGCTCGGTATAATGAGGAGTTTCTAAGCAGCAAGCCAGAATGTAAGAATGATTCTGAAAAGCATGATTCTGGAAAGAAAATGGTAAGAGTACCAGTAAAATAATACTTTCTTCTACATAAAAGCCAACACTAGCTTTGCAAGTGTGTGCTTGACATCTATAAAAGCAGCACTTGCTGAGCTATATCAGATATCTTACTCCACCAGTAATATAGCTATGCAGAAACACAGGGACTAGGAGTGGAGGAAGGGCAGCACTCGCCAACAGTGCCAAGATATATCATTTTACACTGTTTCAGTTATTATGCAGCATTGGCCCTCGTTATGCTTGCAGTGTCTATTGCTTGGCTACATAGTGGACCCCACAAGATCTAGCGATGTCACTCTCTTACATGTCTTTTTGTTTAAATAGTGAAATGCCAGTGAAGTGTTTCTTTGTCATCCCGCTGTTATCTCTGGAGACTAGATGGGACGGAAGCAGTGCGGGATTCAGCAGGTAATGTCTCCGGGAGGGGATTCATGGCTCACGTTCTTCTCAGTATCACAGAAAATGATTAGACGCTGGTCCTGTCACTCTTCAACTCATACCTGCCAGGAGACCAGTTTGTTAGAAGAGAAAACTTTGCTGAGGTCATCACAAAGCCATCATTACATGTAAGAGTAGAGAGCCAAAATTGTATAGACTAGCATATTCTTTTTATATGTAAAATTGTACCTTACAGACAAACTAACCAGAAAAGGGAAATATTCTATATTAAAGAGTCAGTTGACCATCAAAACTGAGACTTTGTTGGTGAGATATCACCACCTGTTGTAGCCATTATCAGGGGTTACCACTGTACCTTTATTTATTTATTATAAAAATGATATATTTGTTATAGGTGGAGCCTGGTAGACTAGGCCAGCCCCTGGTTTATTTTATGTCTCCAATGAGGAGATTTCCTACCAAACATTCTTGACTTACTTTGTGTCCACCTGGAAATTTGGGGTGTGTCCACCAGCTCCTGTTGCATTGTTAATCATATTAACTAATGAGAAACTCCAGGAGGGAGAGTTATGGCCACAACAGATATGCAGACAAATCTCCCACTAGTAAATTTCCAGGAGATAAAATAAATTGCCAAGTGGATTAACGTCAAGTGATTGTAAACATTTGTTTTTTTCTTAAATTGCAAACGTTATACTTATCTGCTCTATGGTTTTGCACAGAAAAGCTCAGATCCTCCTCTTCTAGGGTCCCCCGCTGATGCTCCTGGCTCCTCCCTCTTCTGAGTGCCCCCATAGCAAGCAGCTTGCTATGGGGGCATTTGTGCGTGCTCGCTCCCAAACTGGCTGTGTGTGTCCATAGACACACAGACTGCTGCTCGGCCCCACTCCCATTCCCTTCTCACTGGCTGTGATTGACAGCAGTGGGAGCCAATGAGGAGAGACAGAGCCTCGCATATCGCTGGATCAAGATTTGGCTCAGGTAAGTATAGGGGGGGGGGGGGGTTGAGGATGCATACTGAATGTTTTGGGTTTTTTTGACCTTAATGCAGAGAATGCATTAAGGTAATGCACCTTCAGCCATTAGAAACTTTCACTATCTACCTGAAGGCTTCTGAAAAGGGCAATCTGGGCTATAAAACAGTCTTTTAGCCCCAGTCAAGTGACTTTGCCAAGTCTGCTGTGAGCAGGAGGAAGCTCTTCTCACCAAGTGATCATACTACAAAAGGACTAACTTTACAGAAAGTGATAAAGCAAGATGAAGCAGTAGGAGCTGATCTATGTCAAACATTTGTGAACACAGCCAAGAACTGCCTAGGCACCAGGATTTACATGATCGTGTCAACACTGAGTCACCATATCAGTCCAGGAAGTATATGATGACCCTGGATGATGCTTGGACAAAGATGGCCCCGTCCTTATGGAGAGAAAGGTTATTTGTAGGGACAGTACTGTGAGCTCTGTGAGAGGCAATACATGTACGTGTTATCCTTACACATTACTTGCTATACATGCACTTACGGAAAAGTACAGTGCATCCAGAAAGTATTCACAGCGCTTAACTGCCATATATTGTTATGTTACAGCCCTCTTCCAAAATGGATTAAATTCATTTTTTCCTCAACATTCTACAAACAATACCCCATAATGACAACGTGAAAGAAGTTCGTTTTGAAATTTTTGCAATTTATTAAAAAGAGAAAACGAAAAAAACCACTTGTACATAAGTATTCACAGCCTTTGCTCAATACTTTGTTGAAGCACCTTTAGCACCAATTACAGCCTCAAGTCATTTTGAGTATGATGCTACAAGCTTGGCACATCTATTTTTGGGCAATTTCCACCATTATTTTTTGCAGTATCTCTCAAGCTCCATCAGGTTGGATGGGGAGCGTTGGTGCACAGCCATTTTCAGATCCCTCTAGAGATGATCAATTGGGTTCAAGTCTGGGCCACAACAGGACATTCACAGAGTTGGCCACTCCTTTGTTATGTGGGCTGTGTGCTTATGGTCGTTTTCCTGTTGAAAGATGAACCGTCACCCCAGTCTAAGGTCCAGAGCGCTCTGGAACAGGTTTTCGTCTCTATACATTGCTGCATTCATCTCTCCTTCGATCCTGACTAGTCTCCCAGTTCCTGCCGCTGAAAAACATTGCCACAGCATGATGATGCCACCACGATGCTTCACTGTAGGGATGGCATTGGCCAGTGTTTTGTTTCTCATAGTCTGAGAGTCCCTCCGATGCCTTTTGGCAAACTCCAGGCGAGCTGCCATTAGTCTTTTACTGCGGAGTGGCTTCCGTCTGGCCATTCTACTATACAAGCCTGATTGGTGCAGTGTTGCAGAGATGGTTGTTCATCTGGAAGGTTCTCCTCTCTCCACAGAGAAATGCTGCTCTTTCAGAGTGACCATCAGGTGCTTGGTTACCTCCCTTGTTAAGGCCCTTCTCCCTCAATCGCTCATTTTGGCCGGGCGGCCCGCTCTAGGAAGATTCCTGGTGGTTCCAAACTACTTCCATTCAAAACTGCAGACTTTTTTCTGTACCCTTCCCCAGATCTGTGCCTTGATACAATCCTGTCTCGGAGGTCTACAGACAATTCCTTGGACTTCATGGCTTGGTTTGTGCTCTGACATGCACTGTTAACTGTGGGACCTTATATAGACAGGATTATGCCTTTCCTAATCATGTCTAATCAACTGAATTTCCCTCAGGTGGACTCTAATCAAGTTGAGGAAACATCTCAAGGATGATCAGTGGGAACAGGATGCACCAGAGCTCAATTTTGAGTGTCATGGCAAAGGCTGTGAATACTTATGCACATGTGGTTTTTTTTTCGTTTTTTATTTTTAATAAAATGCAAAGATTTCAAAATGAACTTCTTTCACTTTGTCATTATGTGGTATTGTTTGTAGAATGTTGAGGGAAAAAAATTAATTTAATCCATTTTGGAAAAAGGCTGTAACATAACAAAATGTGGCAAAAATTAAGTGCTGTGAATACTTTCTGGATGCACTGTATATTTGCTGCTGGATCCACTTTAAGGCCTAAGTGCAGTCAAAATCACAAACAGAAAAATCAGCATGAGGAACATAACTTACAGTCAGTAGGTAGGATATGTCCCTTCTGTTGAGGAAAATCTTCCTCCGTCCTGCCCAACGCTGTAATCTTCCAGTATGGCAGGGATGAACACCACTAAGAGGGTGCCACAGGTTTCATCAAGACAACCTTGGAATATGCAGTTGAGTTTTGGGCACTAATTCATAAAAAGAACATTGGGGAACTGGAGAAAGTACAGAGAAGGCCAACCAAACTGATAAGAGGCATGAAGGAGCTCAGCTATGAGGAAAGATTACAAGAACTGAATTTATTCTCTCTTGAGAAGAGGAGATTAAGGGGAGATATGATCAACATGTATAAATACATCAGTGGTTCATATAGTGAACTCTGTGTAGAGCTATTCACCCTGAGGTCATCACAGAGGACAAGGGGGCACTCTTTACGTCTGGAGGAAAAGAGATTTAATCTCCAAATATGGAAAGGTTTCTTCACAGTAAGAGCTGTGAAAATGTGGAATAGACTCCCTCAAGAGTTGGTTCTGGCCAGCTCAGTGGATTCCTTTAAAAAAGGCCTGGATTCTTTCTTAGATACATAGAATATAACTGGATACTAACAGTTATAGGTAAAGTTGATCCAGGAAATATCTCATTGCCTCTCAGGTGATCAGGAAGGATTTTTTTTTCCCCTGCAGGTGCAAATCATTATCATTCATCCAGCATAGACTGATTCCATCTGCAGTAGAGCTTCTATGAATGGTGGATGGGACTGGCATGGTCAGGATGTATTAACCCCCATTGCAAAGGACAATTGGGTGGAGTGGGGGGGGCAGGCTGGAGGAGGATTTTCACTTACTGAAGGGGAAGCAGCACAAGAAACACATCCTACTGGCTTTACGTTATGTCCCTTGTGCTGATTTTTCTGTTTGTGATTTTGATTGCACATAGGCTTTAAGAAAATGAGAACTACAGCATGTCCATGAAGCAAAAATATCTCTGTATGCCATAGCTATACTTTGTCAGAACACCACATCAGTGTGCTATTCATAGTTTTTCAAATAAAAAAGTAATTATATTATTGAAAACCTTTATTCTTCATGCATTAATATATCCTAAACTATCTTAACATTTCCTGCATTCCTATATATACATCTCAGTGTTACAGTTACAACCAGTCAGAAATCTGAAATTCCAACTTGGGGATAAACAGAAAACGTTGATCCCCCAAAGCGGCCTATGAATAAAAAAAAAAAAAAAAAAAAAGCAGCTCCTGCTTCCATGCTCATATGATCTCCAGTGCTGTCTCCTGCAGGCACACTCCATCCATAGTCCAGTGATATTTACATTCTGAGCTGAATGAAACCCAGGGTCATTCAGCCTACTTACTGTGAGCCCATTGTGTCAAGGCTCTGCTCCCTGCCCTGGACTCAAAGGAGAATGGTGACCATTACATAGTGTCGTTCTGTGCAGCATTTACAAATCTGGCCACCACTGGAGGTAGAAGAAGTCAGAGGCCCTGTGACATCACCGTACTGAACCGAATCTGCGGGGGGTGCTCCAAAGAGAAGGGGAGCTAGTCTGGAACTAGGCTTTAAAAAGTGAAAACCTTCACTGCAGTGAAGAAATCAATTTATATTGTAAAAATATATACTTGCAAAAAATACAGTATGTACTATGCATCAGTAAACTATATTAACAAATTGTCCTTAGGGCTCACTCCAGGTCTGTGTAGTTGGTTTTGGCCTAGTATTAGCAATTGGGTAGAATGTACACCCAATTCCAAATTTATCTGACTTTTTTTTTTATTTCTATTTTTTTATAGTATTGCATGAGTACATTTAGTAGCTTTTATTTATTTATCTTAATGAAGCATCCTGCTTTTTTTCAATTTTTCAATATTTTTTTTATTAATGAGAGCTTAAACCTGATTTGTCACTATGGGCATTGTGTTGTTCTGCAAGTTTCTGCCAGTGAAAGAAAGGTCTCAGCTTTTCTTAGGTAGACTATAATGTTGACAGAACATGAAGAATGGCATACTGTTAGACACTTACCACTGGTTGATGCCTTTTGACAAGTCCACCTGAGAGAGGTCAATAATAACCTGCAATAAAACGAAGATACCCAAGCATTAAAGGCACACTCTAGTCATACATTAAGCCTTTCATGGCATACCAGGACTAGACCCTACCTGCTCAGGGCTCCATCCATTGGCTGCAAGCACTGATTGGTTTCTAGACCAGTTCCTAGACTGGCTTCTGTCGGACAGGCTGCTGTACACACGGGCCGAATGTCGGCCGGTTTCTGTTGAACTGGCCAATATTTGGCCATGTGTACCAGTCTTTAGGACAGACTCTGTTTCCTCTCATTAACACACAATGCAGACAGATAGCTTTTAAATCTTTAACCATTTGCTAGGACAGTGTTTAAATCTAATTTACAATGGATAATGAGATTTGCTAGTACAGTACAGACAATTTTAATTATGACAAACACAGCTCCCTGACCCTCTCATAAACAGAACTAGGCAGGATTTTTCAGAGCTACAGTTATCGGAAACAAGCATTAAAAATGGTGAGCAGCAATATTTATATTTGTTACATGTTCTCATTCACAAAATAAAGTAGTGATATCCCAATTTGGCTGCTAAAGTAGAATAGACTTTAAGGTTCAGTTCTACAAACATTTATTCAAGAGGATCTGCCTGGTCATCATTTTGTAGTGATTTTACCTTTCCGATCAGCTCTTTTTCCCTGGACATGAAGGACACACTATTTTTCACAGATATCTCCAGTTTCCTCTTTGTGGCTTCCTCTAAAGGAATCTCCCATTCTAATCTACAATCACAAGAATAAATATTCAGTACATTATTTATCAGTACTACTAATGTATGCACAATACAGACAATTACAGATAAACTTTTAAAGTGTTACTAAACCTGCATCAGTAAAATAAGTCTGTATATGCAGTAAAGAATGCTTGTTATAAACACTGTAGAACCTAAGGGGATAATTCTCCACATTGTGTAAAAAAGCTGATTGATTTTGTCTTCTCTGATCCTCCCCTTCTCCTACTGCCCCCAAACCATCTGCTGACAGTACAGAGCTCTAGGAGTCACTCTGCACATGCTCAGTTTAGCGTATATTGCTAGAGAGGTTTTTTATTATCTTTGGGAGGGTGCATGTGATCAGCACAGGGCCAATCAGCACTGTGCAGACAGAGGGTTATGCACCCTCATAGGACACTCAGAACAGAATGAACACTCCTCCTACAAACGTTAACCAATGCTCAGCTGGACACTGATAGAAGTCACAAGACTGCTATATACTGCTGATGAGAAAAGGTATTTAGCAATTTATATTTACTAAAATAATTGCATTTCCATGTTCTGTGTACTGTGATAGACTGGATATAATGAATGCAGGATCCTGGGTTTAGTAACACTTTGAGCTACATCAGAGGGAGTCTCCTGTAAGTCTTGTTTTTATAAAATTTGTAAGTGTTTAAGCACTACATCCTAACTTGTAATGAAAATGTATATTAACAGACATTATAAGTAAAAATGCAATAAAATACTAAACAAGATATAATAAATGAATTAAAAAGGTAGTACAAAAAAAAAGTTTAAGCAATCATGCAAGTAGTTGCTATGACTGCGTCCCAACTACTTTTTCATTAAGTCAGGTAGAGTGCTCCTGTTCATGGGAATTCAGCAAGTTGTCCAATCTCCACTTACTGCATGTCAATGGTACAGCACCGCTATCCCCCTTACACTATATATAAAACTACACCAGGTATAGTAGGAATTGAACCATTAGTTGGTTAATAATGGGTCACTCTATTATGAATGTACTTACTTCTCATTGAACTCAGGATTCGTAGTTCTTTTCTTCACACTGGTTTTACGCTTTGTGGCCCGGTTTTTATCAGGCACCAACAGGACAGACAAGTAAGGATCGGGGAGCTCCTTAGAACCAACGTTTAAATTCCTACAAAAATAGGGCATTATAATACAAGGTCATTTACAGTATAGAATTCATAGACGTTTGGGCAGCTTTTTTAAGAACACATGTATAATGAAGACAGTAAGCAATTAGGCAATAAACAAAGCTTTAATTATTGCTGTATAGTATTATGTAAAGGATATGTAAAATAAAAATGTGGGACTTGAAGTGAGGTGCAGGGGCAGCGGGAGAGGAGATAATGAGCTACAGACAGAGGAAACCTGACAAGTGTCATTACAGCCAGCAGATCTCACATTGTTTCTCTCTCCTTGTTTTGTTGCTTATCTGCAGCATTGTCTTTTCCTAACACAAGTGCTGTGCCAGTCACACTTTTCTCTCCTTCAAGAGAGGCCTAGTGCTGCTATGACAACATCTGCACTAGTAGTTTAAGCTGGCCATACATGGATCCAAATGTGGCTAGTTCAGCAGGGACCAGCCAAATTTTCATCCATCTATGGCCATTCTTGTTCGAAAGGAGTTGATCTTATGATTGACTCCTCTTGAACATGTTTGTTGGTATATTTTCATTTGATCAGCACTTGCAGTCAATGGGTTGCAGCGTTGATCAGTGTATTCTGACAGCGAGGACTCCTTTGCCTTCAGAATACAATAGCACAGCAGGGAGGATTCCTTCATCTATCTTGAATGTGTGGATAGGGGAATCCATTCTCATCTATGGCCAGCTTTAGTACTAAATATACTGCTGTGCCTCCCCCATCCTTCTCTCTTCTTAAAATTTGGACACCATAAAGAGACTCTTGAGACACAATGTACTTTGTTTTCTGTGTTAACCAACCCACCTTTATCTTTTTCAATTTTATGTACTGTATATCTTATGATCGGTATGTACTTCTTTTTTTATTTCACTGTATGCACAACACAAATGTTCTTTGTATTGTTTATAAATCCAATAAACAATACCTGTTAAAAAATGTATTGCTGTGAAGGCAGAGGGTAAAGAAAGCAGGTATTGCAATTAGTTCTAAAAGTGATGAACATTTTAGTCTATTTATGAAGCATCATACATAAAATGTATGTAAAACCCAACAACGAACTTCTGTTATTTGCTCCATTCTGCTCTGTTAAATATACAATCGAATGTGTTTTGTGATATAGCTACAGTTGCAAGAAAAAGTATGTGAACCCCTTGGGATTACGTGGAGTTTTGCATGAATTGGGCATAAAATGTGCTCTGAACGTCATCTAAGTCACAACAATAGAAGAACACAGTCTGCTGAACATAATACTACACAAACATTAGATGTTTCCATGGTTTAATTGCACATAACATGTAAACATTCACAGTGCAGGGAGGAAAAAGTATGTGAGGCCCTAGCTTAATGACTTCTCCCAGAGCTAATTGGAGCCAGGAGTGAGCCAACCTTGACTCCAATCAGTGTGATGATATTGGATGTGTTGCTGACAGCTGTCCTGCCCTTAAAAAAACACACACCTGTTTTGGGTTTACTGGTTTCAAGAAGCACTGTCTGATGTGAACCATGCCTCGCAGAAAAGAGCTCTCAGAAGACCTACGATCAAGAATTGTTGACTTGCATGAAGCTGGAAAGGGTTACAAAAGTATCTCAAAAAGCCTTGATGTTCATGTGTCCACGGTAAGACAGACTGTCTACAAATGGAGAAAGTTTAGCACTGTTGCTACTCTCCCTAGGCGTGGTCGTCCTGTAAAAATGACTGCAAGAGCACAGCGCAGAATGCTGCATGAGGTAAAGAAGAATCCCAGAGTGTCAGCTAAAGACCTACAGAAATCTCTGGCACATGCTAACATTTTTGTTGACACATCTACAATAAGGAAAACATTAAACAAGAATGGAGTACATGGGAGGACACCACAGAGGAAGCCATTGCTGTCCAACAAGAATATTGCAGCACGTTTGAAGTTTGCAAAAGAGCACTTGGATGTTCCACAGCACTACTGGCAAAATATACTGTGGACAGATGAAACCAAGATTGAGTTGTTTGGGAAGAACACACAACACTATGTGTGGAGAAAAAAAGGCACAGCACACCAACATCAAAACCTCATCCCCACTGTAAAACATGGCGGAGGGAGCATCATGGTTTGGGGCTGATTTGCTGCCTCAGGGCCTGGACGGATTGTTGTCATTGATGGGAAAATGAATTCCAGAGTTTATCAAGACATTTTGCAGGAAAATGTACGACCATCTGTCTGCCAACTGAAGCTCCGCAGAGGATGGGTGATGCAACAGGAGAATGACCCAAAGCATACAAGTAATTCAACAAAACAATGGCTGCAACAGCACAGAATACACCTTCTGGAGTGGCCCAGTCAGAGTCCTGACCTCAACCCGATTGAAATGCTGTGGCATGACCTTAAGAGAGCGATTCACACCAGACATCCCAAGAATATTGCTACACTGAAACAGTTTTGTGAAGAGGAGTGGTCCAAAATTACTCCTGATCATTGTGCAGGTCTGATCTGCAACTACAGGAAACGTTTGGTTGAGGTTATTGCTGCCAAAGGAGGGTCAACCAGTTATTAAGTCCAAAGGTTCACATACTTTTTCCTCCCTGTACTGTGAATGTTTACATGTTATGTGCAATTAAACCATGGCAACATCTAATGTTTGTGTAGTATTATGTTCAGCAGACTGTGTTCTTCTATTGTTGTGACTTAGATGACGTTCAGAGCACATTTTATGCCCAATTCATGCAAAACTCCACATAATCCCAAGGGGTTCACATACTTTTTCTTGCAACTGTATATCAGATCCTTCCTGTGTCCTGTGCTTCCTTCCTGTATTACGTACAGGAGCCTAATTAGCCATACCAGTTCTTAACTTTGGACACAGAATTAGTCCCTAGGTTGTAGAGAACAGGATATGGGAAGATTTGAATAGTTTAGCAAATTGCAGCTAGACAAGGCTGACAACACTCTGTCCACAAAAATACTGTGTGCATCAGGTCACAATAGGACATTTCTGACAGAATGACAGGTAGTTTTCTGTACCTGCAGGGTCTTTAAAGGGATAAAACACATGCAGTACATCTGCACAATATCTGCATATGTTTTCTTGCCCTGACATACATTTTAAAAGCCAAATTCTATCTTGGACAAAAATACAAATAGCTGGATCTCCCAGCAGATGGTAAAAATAAAAAAAAGCAGCTCTGGCATTTATAAACACCTTCTCTTTGGTGCTGTCCCCTGCAAACTTATGTGCTAACGGATTCAATGCCAGTCTTCCTACAGGTTGAATGACATCCAGCATCATTTGATTTGCTTTGTGTGAGTCCAGGAGGTCCAGGATCTGTCCCCTACCCTGGACTTACAAGAGAATGCCACAGAGAGCAGAGTCACATCATTAAATGGTGCTACACTCTGCAGCATTTAGGATCAACACACCTCCAGAGAAAGATGAGGGCAAAGGAGATCTGTGATGTCACTCTACTAAACCAAAGACAGATGGAAAAAATGGCAAGTATAGTCACTAATTTTTTTTAAGGCTGCGGAAGTGCTCCAATAGAGACAAAGGGAGAGGGCCTAGTGAGTCTAGACTTGAGCTTTAAGGCCAGAGCTACACACGTTGTTTTAGTATCTTAACTAGCAATTCCTAGTGATATTAGTAATGCAAACACACAGCACAAATGGCTCTCTATGGCATAAGCTACACAAGGAACCATTTGTTCATTCAGTTTGGTGACTCTTCAAAAATGTGTCCTTGTAGAGCCAGGTTAATATTCATTCACTCTTAGTATCTACAGGGACACCAAGCAGCTTTGCAAATATAACCTCTGACCTCAGCTGTTTCTTTAACTAAGATATGAGATATGTAATTATAGAACTAGACCACATGTTGGCTGAAAGTCAACAGCGAGTGGAGTGAAGACCATTATGTTTCAAGCAATCCAGTAACAGAAATAAGAACAAAATTTCCTTACAGCTGAAGTGGAATAAAAAAATCCTTTTTAAAGTTCACACAATTAACTGCCTCAGCAAAATAATACATTCAGTGGTAAATATATAAAAATCATCATAGCCATTTGCTTGGCATAGATGTATTTAGTTACGACAAGCAGATGTTTTTCTTACCTGCAGCTGTGCATCACTGCCAAAAGCTTCCCCTCCTTTGCTGGGTAATACACTGTCACATGCAGCTGACCTACATTAAAAGCTGCTGGTTCCAGATCACTGTGGGAAAAGATTACAAATGGAAATTGTTTTCATGCTGGTACTGTATCAGTTATTATTCTACTAAAGTCCATGCCAGGCCTTAAAATTTAAAGGAGGGAACCCTTCATGCAGAAACATGGGGAACTCACCCCTCCTTCAGGAGCCAAGTCTTCTTAGCACAGGGATTTGTAAACATAAAGTCTGCTTACAGCACCACTGCGGTTAAAATCTGGTATTGCAATTCAACCATCAAATACAATGGTTCCATGTGGGAAAAATTTATTTCATTGGTTGTACTCCTTTCCACTCAAGCTGCAAAAAAACCCTTTTTATTTACGGTACATATTTGGGTTGTGAGAACCCCTCCAAGTTACTATACAGATGGACCCCATTAGGTGAGTCACTAGAAAACCAGGACAGCAATCTCTCAAATAAAAGGAATTTTGACTTACCTGTAAATACCACATCTTGGGGTACAGTACAGGGTAGAGGCAAAATAGTCAAAGACCCAGAGTCATAAATTTTATACCTTCAGGGATTGGACATTGCCAAAGCTTTCAAGGACATGCCCCCTGGGAACATCACCTATAACCCTACCCCTTTCTGTATTTCCTCAGTTTTGCAGCAAGCAGTGCAGAGTAACCAAGGAATGCAAGATAGTGTGTCCGGTGTCCTGTCCTGCACTCCAAGATATGGAATTTACAGGTGTTAAAATTTCTCTTATCTTAATTGTACAGCACAGGACACGGGCAAAGTATTCATATACCCTGGGACGCCCCCAAGCAATAAATGAGAGGTGGGCAACAACAGGGCAAACAGAACTGTGCTAACAGGTCCAACAACAACAAAGGTCAACACACCCAAATTCACATTGCCACTGCAGGAATCTTGTGGCAGAAAGCTGCATCCACACAAGATTGGACATCTACTTGGTAGAACTCTGAAAAGGTAGGAACAGAGGAGCAGGTGGCAGCCTTACAAGCTGGGCTACTGAGGCCTGGTGCTGGAATGCTCAAGAAATTCTCACCGATCTAGTAAAAGTGCAGAAAGAGATTTATCCTTGACAGTGTAAGCTCTTGCAATCTGATTTCTTATCCATCGAGCAATGGTGGACTTGGAAACAGGCTGTCCCCACTTCGAGATTCTGAGGACAGGCTAAATAAGGAATCTGTCTGATCAAAGCTGTTATTTTGAGGTAGGCTCTTATGGCTCTGACAACAGCCCAGGCAGTGAACAGAAATTTGGGTACTTTGGAGCAGAGCATAACGATGGAAGGACAATGTCTTCACTGAGGTAGAAGACTGATACCACCTTAGGAAGAATGATAGTCTTGGGTGTAAAATTACCTTGTCACTGTGAATGTTAATGGGGAGCTTGGCTTTCACCGGTGACAATGTTCCCCGGACCGTGAGGGATTAGAGCACTCCTACCTAGACTGAAAGACTGGCATCTGTTATCAGAATATTGGGTAAGCGTGTCTGGAAGGAGTACACAGCAACCCAGGTGTAGATTGTCCTGTAGCAAAGTGAATACATTCCAAATATTGCCCTGGTTTTACTTCAAGATATATGATGACCCCGTGTTACCTGTCCATAATGCTGGCCTGTATATAGAGTCCAGGCTTTGCCCATGACAGGGGACATATCTGGGTTCCATAGGGATAGACCACAGCCCTGGACCTGTATATCATCCTGCAGCTGGCTACTCGTGCTGCAGGTGGCTAGGTGACAGTGTGCCTAAAGCAACATTACGGGTCATCCCCAGAGTGTGGGGTTTAGATACGGCTCCCAAGGTTTTACAGCAGTTGAGCTGATACTGCTTCTATCTATGCTATTAGAAGGCAGTGAAGGAGATGACTGAAGACTTGATTGAAGAGTCTGAAGATAAAATGATCAGCTAGAGTGATTTCTCTATATATGAAGAATAGGTCCATCACCTTAGTACACTAGTAAAAAACCAAACACTCATGAAATGGGGTAGGGTTATGAAGGAGGCACCCAGGAGGCATGTACATGACAGCTCTGCCAGTGTCCAAGCACCTGAAAGTATAAGCCTATAACTCAGGGTCTGGAATACTTCATGTGTCCTTTAATGTACGAGTAAGATAACTTTACTGGTTATAGACAAATAAATCTCTCATCAACATCTATAAGAACTGCCCTTTCTAGTTATGATCATTGAACTGCCTAGCCCACCTCAACTTTTACTTTTTCGACAACTGAGATTACTTTCTTTCAGCACATGCCTGAAAGGATCATTCTTCTTTCTGAGAAGAACAATCCATGATCACACAAAAATTGGCAGTGCAAAGAGACGCTAAAAGTATATTACTACAGTTATCAGTCAAGGACACCAAGTTTGAATGCTCCATTAAAGATCACCCACTGAACCACATTCTCTGACTATTCATAAAGCAGTTTCGACCACAATCAAGAGGAGTGGGGCTTATTGTGAGTTGGGTGTAGCCTATTCCAGGGGATAACTGCTGCCTCAGGCAGAGATATTGTCAACTTAAAATGTATAATTCTCCACCAAATATATTAAATACAAGTTATATGTTTTATTTTATAAAGAATTAATAAATTCAGTTCAGTTAATCTTATCCAATAAGGCGCTCATCCACGCCCCATTTTAATTTAGTCTCCCCTAGGTTCACCAACATAAAGAAAAGGGTACTTGCCTGTTTGTGTAGGGCAGTCTTTGTCTCAGGTCTCCTGCAGAGAGGTCTTCATGGTCCACAGCAGACTCAAGGTTAAATTCTGTTTTAACAGGGCTAGGAGGTCTAGGAGGGTCAGAGGACTTAAAACTAAGAGCATTGAGTTCAGGGCTGACATTGGGTGAGGCCAGAATCTGCAACACATTATTTGATTAGAGAATAAGATGTATTGTACTGTTTCTTTTAGTAATGTTATATTGTACGTTGAAGGAAAACTTTGTTGACAGATCCTGTAATTAACAGATTTACCAGTTACTTAATAGCAAAACAAATCTAAGGTCTTGCTCAGATGGACACTGGCATCCATACTGCATGCAGGAGGCATTTGTTTTGGCATCTGTCCTCAGCTGTGTATAGTCTATGGAAGCGGAAGCTGTCAAATTTTAACATGCGCCTGTGTATGTGCTGCCACTGTGTCTGCATCCACTTTCATAGGCTGCCTGCACGCAGCTGAGGGAAAGATGCTAAAACAAATACCTGATGCATGTGTTATAGAAAAAAAAAAAAAAAAAAGCTACACAAAGTCATCCTGACTGTTGATGGTGTCCAGGTCTGTCAAACCAAATAAGTAGTAATTAGCAGCATACACCAAAAAAAATTGAATGAGAGAGTAATTTCTTGAAATTTAGATTGATAATCATCCACTCACCCTCATCTGAGCTCTCATGAGAAGTTCGCCTCCAGATGAATTCAGAGGGAACCAGCCATCAACAGTGAAACAATCAGCAGTTAGAAGATCAGACAGTGGCATTGTCAAAGATCCCAAGGACTTACTGGCCTCATCCCGCACCTTTAACAAAACACAAAAATATAAATGTCGGTGATTGACAAAGTAAAACTGAAGACATTCAGAACTGTACTAAACAAGCAAGCGTCATACTCACATTAATCTGCAGTACTTCAGAATTGGGATTCTTGACAAGGAATATGAACTTTTCTTCCCAGACTGGACTGCTACTTTTTGATGTGACCTGATAAAGTGAAGCACACACCATTCACTAACAGAAATAAAGAAAAAGCAGGCAGCTGGAATTCATCTGTGACTTTATCAGCTGGATCTGTCTGATTAACATCTAGCCTACAGGGCACTTATACCCCCTTCCTGCCCAGGCCAATTTTTAGCTTTCAGCACTGTCACACTTTGAATGACAATTGCGCAGTCATGCAACACTGTACCCATATGAATTTTTTATCTTTTTTTAAACAGATAGAGCTTTCTTTTGGTGGTATTTAATCACCTCTGGGTTTTTATTTTTTGCTAAACAAACCCAAAAAACCACTGAAAATTAAAAAAAAAAAAAAAAAAGTTTCTTAGTTTTTGTTATAAAATTTTGTAAATAAGTGATTTTTCTCCTTCGCTGATGTGCGCTAATGAGGCTGCAGTGATGGGCACGGATAGGTGGCACTGATGAAGAGGCACTGGTAGGCAGCACTGATGGGAATTGACAGGCATCACTGATGGGCACTGAAAGGCAGCACTCATATATGGCACTGATAGGCGGCACTGATAGGTGGCACTGACTGGCACTGATAGGTGGCACTGATAGGCAGCACTAATGGGCACTGATAGGCGCCACTGATTGGCAGCACTGATAGGAGGCAATGACTGGCATTGATAGGTGGCACTGACTGGCACTGATAGGTGACACTGAAAGGCAGCTCAGATGGGCATTGATGTGGCATTGATGTGCACTGGTAGACACTGATATGTGGCATTGATGTGGCACTGATGGCCACTGGCAGGTGGCATGGATGAGCACTGACAGCTGGCACTGATGGACACTGACAGGTGGCACTGCTGGGGCTACAATGATCATCAGGGCACACTGATCATCAGTGCACATGTCCCCTCTGAGGAATGCCGATTACCAGCTCTCCTCTCCTCTCGAGCTGTCAACGTGACAGCTCGTGAGGAGAGAAATGCAGATAAGCGGCATTTCCCTATTTACATGCGATCAGCTGTGATTGGACACAGCTGATCACATGACTGAGCCAACATCTTCATCTCATTCCGTTGATCGGTGATCCATTGTGTCCGAGGGACACAGCGCACCACCGATCACCACGTGCCCCCAGAGCTGCGCATGCGCGGTTAGAATGGGAGGACGTCATAAGGCGTCCTCCCAAAAGGAGAGAACCGCCTTGTGCCCGTCATTACCTTATATGGCGGGCGGGAGGCGGTTAAGCAAAAACACTCTATACATTGATTTAAAATGCAAACCATGTTCCTGAAAGCCAGATACCGTTTGCTCTGCACCTAGACTTTAGGTTATATGAAGGAGCTCTGAAGCAGTAATCTACGAATGAGAAACAAAAGGTACCTTCTTCCTCAAAATAATTATATTTGATAATGTTAACAATCATATGAAATCAAGGCTAGGTCCATTTTATGGCTGCATGTAATTAGGAACAGTAAGTTGTTCCCCTTATGGCGTACACCTCTGTTTCCCAACCACAAGTTTCTGGACAGCTGCAAGCCTTTTATTGCTGGCCACTGGACAAATAGCCGAGAAGGGATATGAATGAATAGTTTTTTGATTATTTATTCTTTAATGTCCAAGTTATTGTAGAACAATGTTTTTTTCTATTTTAATCACAATGGTATTTCATATAACACATCTGGTTCTTACTGTAAAAATGTTTGCCAAAAAGTTTAGAAGATGAAAGGGGTTGAAAATCATTGGCTTAGATAGCCTACAGTTCTCTAGTAGTTGATCGAGTTAAGCTGGCCATAGATGGACCGAAAATCGGCAGATTCAGCAGGGACCGGCCCAATTACAATCCATGTTTGGATTGTTAAATTAACTTTTGTTGAAGGGCCTTGTTGGAAAACAATGTGTATTCTGACAACAGAAAGTCCCACTGTCAGCATACAATGTACCAGTTGGGAAGGGGGGAATTCCTTTATCCACTTTGCTTGTGTGGATGGAGGAATCCATTTTTTGCTTTCATTCACGCTGGCTGAAGGAAAAAAAAGAAACTGTTCATGTCCAGCTTTAGTATTTAAAGTGTCTCCTCACATCTATCTCATTTCCTTGGTCTCTGTAGTCTGGTTTTGCACTGAAAACTGCACAATAAATACAATAATATTTAGAGAGCTAACCAATATCCTTCCTTAAAAACCAAATCAAGAGTTGATTTTCTCTTGTGTTTTTGCTAGTATCTTTGTATTTGATGCTGCTGACCATTTTCTTCTCTTAAAAAGTCTCCAACCAGTTGGCATTCATGTAACTGCCCTCTTATGGATGTACAGTGAAGGAAATAAGTATTTGATCCCCTGCTGATTTTGAATGTTTGCCCACTCACAAAGAAATGATCAGTCTAAAAATCGAATGGTAGGTGTATTGCAACACTGAGAGACAGAATAGCAACAAAAAATTCAAAAGAAATGCATATCTAAACAAATTATGCACTTATTTGCATGTTCATCAGGGAAATAAGTATTTGATCCCCTATCACTGAGATTAGAAGTAGTCTCTTAAAGAGAGTGCTGCTTATCTCATTTTGTTACCTGTATAAAAGACACCTGTCCACAGAAGCAATCAAACAATCAGATTCCAAACTCTCCACCATGGCAAAGACCAAAGAGCTGTCCAAGGATGTCAGGGACAAGATTATAGACCTACACAAAGCTGGACTGGGCTACCAAACTATCGCCAAGCAGCTTGATGAGAAGGTGACAACAGTTTGTGCAATCATTTGCAAATGGAAGCAACACAAAACAACTGTCAGTCTCCCTAGGTCTGGTGCACCATGCAAGATCTCACCTCATGGAGTGTCACTGATCATGAGAACAGTGAGGAATCATCCCAGAACTACACGTGAGGATCTTGTCAATGATCTCCAGGCAGCTGGGACCACAGTCACCAAGAAAACAATTGGTAACACACTACACCGACAAGGATTGAAATCCTGCAGTGCCTGCAAGGTCCCTCTGCTCAAGAAAGCACATATCCAGGCCTGTCTGAAGTTTGCCACTGAACATTGAATGATGCAGAGGAGGACTGGTTGAAAGTGCTGTGGTCAGATGAGACCAAAATTGAGCTCTTTGGCATCAACTCAACTCGCCGTGTTTGGAGGAGGAATGCTGCCTATGACCCCAAGAACAGCATCCCAACTGTCAAACATGGTGGTGGAAACATTCTGCTTTGGGGGTGTTTTTCTGCTAAGGGGACAGGACACCTCAACAAAGGGACGATTGACGGGGCAATGTACCGTCAAATCTTGGGTGAGAACCTTCTTCTACCCTCAGCCAGGGCATTGAAAATGGGTCCTGGATGGGTGTTCCAGCATGACAATGACCCAAAACACACAGCCAAGGCAACAAAGGAGTGGCTCAAGAAGAAGCACATTAAGGTCCTGGAGTGGCCTAGCCAGTCTCCAGACCTTTATCTGATTGAAAATCTGTGGAGGGAGTTGAAAGCTCGAGTCGCCAAACATCAGCCACCAAACCTTAATGACTTGGAGAGTATCTGCTCCACCTGAGATCTAATCCTCCTGAGATGTGTACAAACCTGGTGGCCAACTACAGGAAACGTCTGACCTCTGGGATTGCCAACAAGGGATTTGCCACCAAGTACTAAGTCATGTTTTGTGAAGGGGATCAAATATTTACTTCCCCCCTCATGAACATACAAATCAGTGCATAATTTGTTAGACGTACATTTCTTTTGAATTTTTTGTTGCTATTCTGTCTCTCAGTGTTACAATACACCTACCATTCGATTTTTAGACTGATCCATTCTTTGTTAGTGGGCAAACATTCAAATTCAGCAGGGATTCAAATACTTATTTCCTTCACTGTAATTTTCAACAAAGCAGTCTTTCTGAAAGGTTCCGCATGCTTTTCCACTCCTGTGTATGTTGGTATACTCCCAATACTTTATCTACCCCAGCATGCTAAGTAAAATGATCTCTACCAAAACCTCCAACACCAGCTGTATTCAGATAATGCCCAAATCCACATGTCCATTTTAACACTCATTTTTTAACTACCTCTTAGTCATCTATTTGTGCATGCCTGAACAGTACCTAAAGTTTACCCTGGACAAAACTGAGCTATTTATGTTCCATATTTTACAGTCAAAGCCTTACCTCGCTATCTGTAAAAGGCACAATTATTCAACCAACCTGATCTTTCAGCTCAACGTGGCCAATTACACTGTTCAACAGGTAAAAGTTTTGGGCATAAAATTAGCTAATCTTACATAATTTTGGGGTGCTGAAAACGAAAATGACCCTAAAAAATGTTGATTGGCTCTAGTTTCCATGATATATTCACCCATCTAATGACGTAAGCCATTCAAAATTATGATGCAACTTCAGCTGCATATTGCGCAATTGATACTGGTGACCAATAGAAAATTGCATGTATACTGAGATGATGCAATATTAGCCTTTAATTGCATCACTTCACTGCATAAAAGCTGCAGTATCTGTAGCTGATTGTAGTTCGTCTTTACATTTCGTTTTATACTTATATAGGCTACTCAGTAATGCCTCAAACTTGTGTGAATAAAGCAGATTAATTTCTGCTATATCTGCGGTGATTATGAAATAAACTTTTATCTCACAAAAAAGGAGGATAACAGGAATGATTAAGAAAGCCTACAACTTGTATTTTGGCTGCAAGATAGGAGACCAGGACAAGAGCTGGGCACCACATATATGCTGCATTTCTTGTGGGACGGCACTGGAGCAATGGTTGAATGGAAAAAAGGCATCTATGCCTTTCGCTGTGCAATGATTTGGAGAGAGCCAACAGATTCATGTTAGTAATTGTTACTTTTGTATGGTGCCTCCAATTGTAAAAGGGCTAAATAAGAAGAAAAAGTTATCTGTGCACTATCCAAATATTCCATCGGCAATACGTCCAGTTCCTCATGGAGAGGGGCTACCATTCCTAAAGCACCAGAATCCTTCGTGGTTGAGTCAAGTGAGGAAGAACCTGAAGCGTGTAGTCACGTGCAGTTGTAAGAGATAGCCCTTTCCTCGAATACAAGAGAAAAGCCAAGAGAAGCAAAACCGACACAAATCTGAAGACAAAACTAGTGAGAATCCTAAGTATTAAATGATTAAACTTAGCTTATGGCTATATTTTTCTTGGTAATCCTATGCAATATATTATGCCATTTAGGCTTTGTTATGTAGTCAATATCACTTGCTTTATATTTGTGGAAAGACATCTATCTATATAATTATTGTGCATTATGTAGTCATTAACGCCTATAGTAGAAAACTTTCCGTTTACAGAAAAACTAGAGCCAATTGACAAATTTCATTGTTATATTTGAACTCAGAATGTGAAATTCATTCAGAAATGGATCCTTTTGTTTCCAAAACTGGCAAAAAATAAAAATTTTGTTGAACAGTGTTATCACTGCACACACTCAGTGAATGACAAATCTCTGCATAACAATTACTCCCACATAAGCTCATTTTCCCCATGATATGACTTTAAGTCAAAAGCCTGAGATGTTTCGATCCATATACAGTTGTGTTCAAAATAATAGCAGTGTGTTGAAAAAAAGTGAATAAAGCTCCAAATCCTTCTAATAGCGTTTATTTCCATACACACAAATGCATTGGGAACACTACACATTCTATTCCAAATCAAAACATGAAGAGAAATATATCAAATTTGTGTTGTTCCTCTAAAAAAATTGAAGAAAAGTGAATATTAGACTGTTCAAAAAAGTAGTAGTGTTTGTATTCTTCTTTACAAACTCAAACATTCACTATATAAACTGAAAAATGTTTGAAGATTTTGCTTTCCTTTGAATCACTTAATATTTAGTTGTATAAGCACTGTTTCTGAGGACTGCTGTACATCTGTGTTGCATGGAGTCAACCAACTTCTGGCACCTGTGAACAGGTATTCCAGCCCAGGATGATTGGACTACATTCCACAGTTCTTCTCTATTTCTTGGTTTTGCCTCAGAAACTGCATTTTTGATGTCACCCCCACAAGTTTTCTATTGGATTAGGATCCGGGGATTGGGCTGGCCACTCCATAACGTCGATCTTGTTGGTCTGGAACCAAGATGTTGCATGTTTACTGGTGTGTTTGGGGTCGTTGTCTTGTTGGAACACCCATTTCAAGGGCATTTCCTCTTCAGCATAAGGCAGCATGACCTCTTCAAGTATTCTGATGTATTCAAACTGATCCATGATCCCTGGTATGTGCGATAAATAGGCCCAACACCGTAGTATGAGAAACATCCCCATATCATGATGCTTGCGCAACCATGCTTCACTGTCTTCACAGTGTACTGTGGCTTGAATTCAGTGTTTGGGGGTCGTCTGACAAACTGTCTCCGTCCACTAGACCCAAAAAGAACAATCTTACTTTCATCAGTCCACAAAATGTTGCGCCATTTCTCTTTAGGCTAGTCAATGTGCTTTGGCAAATTGTAACCTCTTCAGCACGTTTTTTTTTTCAACAGTGGGACTTTGCGGGGGCTTCTTGCAGATAGCTTGGCTTCACATAGGCGTCTTCTAATTGTAACAGTACTCCACAGGTAACTTTAGACCTTCTTTGATCTTCCTGGAGCTGATTGTTGGCTGAGTCCTTGCCATTTTGGCTATTCTTCTATCCATTCGAATGGTAGTTTTTCACTTTCTTCCACGTCTTTCAGGTTTTGGTTGCCATTTTAAAGCATTTGCAATCATTTTAGCTGAGCAGCCTATCATTTTCTGCACTTCTTTATATGTTTTCCTCTCTCCAATCAACTTTTAATCAAGGTACGCTGTTCTTCTGAACAATGTCTGGAACGACCCATTTTCCTCAGAATTTCAGAGAGAAATGCACTGTAACCAGCATGTACATTTGCTGCCTTCCTTCCTTAAATAAGGGCAATAATTGCCCAACTGTTTTTCAAAGAATGAATGACCTCACTAATAAAACTCCACACTGCTATTATTTTGAACATGCCCCTTTCAATTAGTGATTCAATTACACAGAATCAGCAGCATGCATGTCATGACTGTTGGGTCTGTAAAAAAACACTGATTTCTATTACTCTACTACACCTGCTAGTAAATTATTTGCCATGTAGAAATATAATTTCTACCAAAAACAGTGATTGATCAGGTTAGTGATGTCTGACTGCTATTATTTTGAACAAAACTGTATATATCAAACATCAATTAAAGATGAATGTAAAAACTGGCACAGATTTCCACTTAAAGATACCTTGGTTTTGTAGGTAGATTTCCTAACAGTTATCTCTGCAGTTGCTGTTGGGGGTTTGACTCCCTTCTTCATCTATTAAACACAAAGCGACAGATATATCAGTAAAGCACAGAAAAAAATGGGAAGATGAAAAAAAACATTACATGAAATAAAAAAAAAAAAAAAAGATACTCATAAATCTTACTGGCAGGTCACTGGCACTTTCTAAATAGACACTTAGAAGGGCACTTGAGAACTCATCACTATGTGCTGGCTGAGTCAGGCTGTTCACCAACAGAACCTAAAATGTAAACAGTTCACCATTTATTTGTAGCAATCTTTTTCACATACAGGAGAGCATAGCACATGCCATAGACAGATTACACAGAATACAGCAAGAGAGTATTATCAGAACAGACAAGAACAGCCAGAGAGTATCTTTAGAAACAAAACCCTAGCAGGAGAGTATTTACATAGCTGACAAAGCAGTGTGAAGAGTTATCAGAACAGACTAGACATAGGTATAGTGTCATCAGAAAAGACACAAAACAGTAGAAGAGTATTATCAGTATAGGCAGAAGACAGCCTTGGTAAAATATTAGACAGGCAGGGGACAGCAAGGGAGTGCTACTAGAACAGTTGTAAGACTTCAGGAGAATATTCATAGGAGCTTACAGGAAACAGCAGGAAATTACTATCAGACCAGGCAGAAGACAGCAGAAGAACATCATTAGATGGGACAGTATTTTTCCATTTGTTTTTTGAGTGATCCAATATTTTCCTATTGCCTTTTTCAGAACAAGCACAAGACAGCGGATAGTATAGAAAAGCACAAAAGGGTATTATCAGAGCAGGACGATTTCTGGATTGTTATCACAACATGCAGGCGACCGCAGGAGGAACAGAGAGCAGCAGAAGAGTATCATTGAAATAGATAGAAGACAGCATTAGTAGAGCAGAAAGGGAATGATAAAAATGTCTTATCAGGTAGCATTATAAGAAAAGATAAAAGATAGTGGAACATTCTTAGCAGAATAGAAAGGGGGAAATAAAGTATTATAAGAACATGTAGAAGCAAGCTGGAGGGTATTAGCAAAATCAGGACAAGCAGAAGACAGTGGGAAAGTACAAACAGAAGAGTCACACAACAAAGAAAGAAAAATCAGAATAGATGGACAGGGGAAGGGGATTATCAAAGCAAGCTGTAGGCAATGAGAGTTTATCATAACAGAAAAAAGACAAGATATTAGAAGAACAGGCAAATTACAGGAAGAAAGTACACTTCTCAAAAAAATTAATGGAACACTTTTTAATCAGAGTATAGCATCAAATCAGTTAAACTCCTGGGATATTGATCTGGTCAGTTAAGTAGCAGAGGGGGTTGTTAATCAGTTTCAGCTGCTTTGGTGTTAATGGGATTAACAACAGGTGCTCTAGAAGGGGGAAACTAAGCGATGACCCCCAAAACAAGAATGGTTTTACAGGTGGAGGCCACTGACATTTTTGTTCCCTACTTATCTTTTCTGAATGTTTTTTCACTAGTTTTGCATTTGGCTGGGGTCAGTGTCACTACTGATAGCATGAGGCAATACCCGGACCCTACAGAGGTTGCACAGGCAGCCCAACTGCTCCAGGATGGCACATCAATATGTGCCATTGCCAGAAAGTTTGCTGTGTCTCCCAGCACAGTCTCCAGAGCATGGAGGAGATTCCAGGAGATGGACAGTTACTCTAGGAGAGCTGGACAGGGCCGTAGAAGATCCTTTACCCAACAACAGGACCGGTATTTGCTCCTTTGTGCAAGCTGGAACAAGATGAGCACTGCCAGAGTTCTACAAAATGACCTCCAGCAGGCCACTGGTGTGAATGAGTCTAGCCAATCAGAAACAGACTTCGTGAGGGTGGCCAGAGGACCTGTCAACCTCTAGTGAGCCCTGTCCTCATTGCCCAGCACCATAGAGCTCAATTGGCATTTGCCATTGAAAACCAGAAGTGGCAGGTCCACCATTGGCACCCTGTGCTTTACACAGATGAGAGCATGTTCACCTATGATATCATGTTTCAGTCCATCCGACACCGCCAGGTTGCACCTCAGACTATCCAGGAGCTCATTGATGCCCTGGACCTGGGAGGAAATACCCCAGGACACCATCCGTCGTCTCATTAGGAGCATGCCCCAACATTGTCAGGCATGCATACATGCACGTGGGGGCCATAAAAACTACTGAGTAGCATTTTGAGTTGCTGCAATGAAATTTCAGCAAAATTAACTAGCCTGCTGCATCATTTTTTCACTTTGATTTTAGGGGTGCCTTTGATTTCAGTCCTCTCTGTAGGTTTGAGAATTCTCATTTCCATCAAAGGATGGGGCATCCTTGCGTTCCTAACACATTACCCAGTCCATGTCAGTATAGCTATCCAGCATGATATTTTTGCCCATTGAGATTTGATGTGTTTTTCAAAGTGTTCCTTTCATTTTTTTTGAGCATCATCATATCACAACAAAGACAGCAGAATATTACCATTAAAGTGGTTGTAAAGGCTGAATACTTACCTGAGCCCCATCTCGATCTAGCATTGTGAACGGGAGTAGTTCCTCTCCCAGGTCTCCCTCCTCACTGGCTCAGAAACAGCAGCGGGAGCCATTGGCTCCCAATGGCTCCTACTGCTGTCAATCACAGCCAGTGAGGAGGGAGCAGTGGCCACACTCTGAGACACACAAAGAGGGGCTCAGAAGTGAGCATGCACAAGTGCATTGGGGGAGGGGCCAGGAGAAGCTAAGGGGGACTTGAGAGGAGGAGGATCCAGGCTGCTCTGTTCAAAATCGTTGCACGGTTTAGGTAAGTATAACATGTTTGTTATTTTAAAAAAAACTGAGCCTTTACTGTTACTTTAACACAGATAGAGTAGGGGGAGTATAGGATTGGAAAAAGCAGAGGACAGTGGAAGAAATATTAACAGAAGGGGCAAAAAACAGGAGCAACTACATGCAGACTACAAAGACAGCAGACAATATAATCTACATGCTCAAAGCTGAAGACAGCAAGTAAATATTACAACAACAGACAGAAAATAGTAGGAAAGCATTAGAAGAATTCATAGTGGAGCCACACTGCCTTACCTGCTCTACTTGAGCAGCATCAGTAAGATGTGACAGACACTCTACTTTTACATGCAGTTTTCCTGACTTCACTTCCTCTAAGGGCAACCACTGAAAATGAGAATATACAAGACTGTTACATACTATATAAATACATTATACCTGTTTTAAGCAAAGCACCATATTTAAACAATCTATATATTCTAAAGCATTAGGGAGAGGCAGTATAAAGTGCTTCTGTATGGTGGCACAATAGTTATTAGTCTCCTACTCTGAATTTGTATGGTTTAACTGTTTGTCCTGCATAAAGTAATAAAGTCCAATGCAATACTTGAAAATTACTAAATGCACTGTCAAGTTCTGCTGCCAGTATTTTTGAAACACAATCTTCCTGCATATCCCCAGGCTTGTTCAGGGAGGTAGAGCACCTGAAGAAGCACAGTGACTACTTAACATAATCAACAATTATCTGCTCATTCAGGGTCAGAGGGCCCTCTAACACTACATCTGTCATCTTAATCTGGGTAATTGTGATGTCCAGGATACATACAGTGAAGGAAATAAGTATTTGATCCCCTGCTGATTTTGAATGTTTGCCCACTCACAAAGAAATGATCAGTCTAAAAATCGAATGGTAGGTGTATTGTAACATTGAGAGACAGAATAGCAACAAAAAATTCAAAAGAAATGCATGTCTAACAAATTATGCACTGATTTGCATGTTCATGAGGGAAATAAGTATTTGATCCCCTGTCATTCAGCAGGATTTCTGGCTACCAGGTGTCTTTCATACAGGTAACAAGCTGAGATTAGAAGCAGTCTCTTAAAGAGAGTGCTGCTTATCTCATTTTGTTACCTGTATAAAAGACTCCTGCCCACAGGAGCAATCAAACAATCAGATTCTAAACTCTCCACCATGGTAAAGACCAAAGAGCAGTCCAAGGATGTCAGGGAAAAGATTGTAGACCTACACAAAGCTGGAGTGGGCTACCAAACTATCGCCAAGCAGCTTGATGAGAAGGTGACAACAGTTTGTGCAATCATTTGCAAATGGAAGAAACACAAAACAACTGTCAGTTTCCCTAGGTGTGGTGCACCATGCAAGATCTCACCTCGTGGAGTGTCACTGATCATGAAAACAGTGAGGAATCATCCCAGAACTACACGTGAGGATCTTGTCAATGATCTCCAGGCAGCTGGGACCACAGTCACCAAGAAAACAATTGGTAACACATTACACTGACAAGGATTGAAATCCTGCAGTGCCTGCAAGGTCCCTCTGCTCAAGAAAGCACATGTCCAGGCACGTCTGAAGTTTGCCACTGAACATCTGAATGATGCAGAGGAGGACTGGTTGAAAGTGTTGTGGTCAGATGAGACCAAAATCGAGCTCTTTGGCATCAACTCAACTCGCCGTGTTTGGAGGAGGAGGAGGAATGCTGCCTATGACCCCAAGAACACCATCCCAACTTTCAAACATGGCGGTGGAAACATTCTGCTTTGGGGGTGTTTTTCTGCTAAGGGGACAGGACACCTCAACAAAGGGACGATTGACGGGGCAATGTACCGTCAAATCTTGGGTGAGAACCTTCTACCCTCAGCCAGGGCATTGAAAATGGGTCGTGGATGGGTGTTCCAGCATAACAATGACCCAAAACACACAGCCAAGGCAACAAAGGAGTGGCTCAAGAAGAAGCACATTAAGGTCCTGGAGTGGCCTAGCCAGTCTCCAGACCTTTATCTGATTGAAAATCTGTGGAGGAAGCTGAAAGTTCGAGTTGCCAGACGACAGCCACCAAACCTTAATGACTTGGAGAGTATCTGCTCCTCCTGAGATCTAATCCCTTCTGAGATGTGTGCAAACCTGGTGGCCAACTACAGAAAACGTCTGACCTCTGTGCTTGCCAACAAGGGATTTACCACCAAGTACTAAGTCATGTTTTGTGAAGGGGATGAAATATTTATTTCCCTCATGAACATACAAAATAAGTGCATAATTTGTTAGATGTACATTTCTTTTGATGTTTTTGTTGCTATTCTGTCTCTCAATGTTACAATACACCTACCATTCGATTTTTAGACTGATCATTTCTTTGTTAGTGGGCAAACATTCAAAATCAGCAGGGGATCAAATACTTATTTCCTTCACTGTATAGAGAACCTACTAGACAGGTTTCTGTAAGGTACAATGATGGGATCTGTAATATGAAACTCTTCAAGGAATCAACAGCATATGGCATGGATACTCCAATGACCATTGTTTCTACTAACGAAACAAACAAGATTCTTTACAGCCCTACAGCTGAATTGGTAACTATATATACTCAGGTGAATTAAAATGGTGATTAACGCAAAAGCGGAAGAAAAATGGATCAGTGTGAAAGCAGCCTTACTTTTAACCCTTTTGCTGCTAGGTACGTAAGTCATATGGACCCGACAGCGTTTTACACACAAGAGTAGAGATTTTACACAAGACAAAGTTTTACACACAATCCAGTGGCTGCAGCTACCAGGATTGTGTCTAAAACGGACAGGCAGACTCCTGCCTGTCAGGTGGCAGCACTGCCGCCTGATTGCTTCCGCAATGGTGCTCGTCCCCCCCCCCCCCCACCCACACACACACACACCCACCCTCACACACACACCCTCACACCATGTATGCCCGGGGCCGGCATGACTTGCTGTGACCTGGGAAGGCGACATGTATGATGTCATTTCCAGGTCACCACTGTCACTTTCCTCAGCTAGAATAGCCAGGGAAAAATGGATTGCAATGCAATATGCATTGCAATACATCCAGTGGGGCCCAAAGGAGACATGCAGGGTCTTCTAGACCCTGGATGTCTCATTAAAGTGAACCTGTCACCTAAAAATCAACACATAAGGAACTTTGTGTCCCCTACGTGATTTCCAAAAATTAGTTACACCCAAGCACATAACATCACCCCTACATATACGCATGTACGATAATTAATGCACACGCCGGGGCGCCTACGCATGACAACGTTGATTGCTATACACGTTACATGCTGCACACGCTGGAGTGAAAGCAATAAATCCAGTACAAGACCTCCTCCGTAAAACTAAACTCATGACCTTTAGGGGCTTTTGAAGCATTGCCTATAGAAAATATAGGGTACTGAAGTTTGGGGCGCACACAAATTTAAGGTTTGATATGTTGGGTATCTATGTACTTGGCTTCCTCTTTTATATTTTACCAAAAACATTTATTGCGTTTGTTTGCCCTAAAATTCACTTTAGTGTGTTTTTTTACTGAAATTTTGTGTTTCCTAGACCTTTGCAGTATTATGTGTGACATAAAGCATTGGACTTACCAATATTTTATTCTCTAGGGTGTCTGCTTTCAGAAAATATATATAATGTTTGGGGGTTTTGTGTAATCTTCAGGCCTACAATGATTTTTTAAACGTGTGCAAAAAATGCAAAAATGTTTCTGGCAGCAAACGGGTTAAAGGGCAACATTCTTACTGATATGGTCCTGACTAGGATAGACAAGATGAATGTGCAGGCTTCATCCCAATGTTTCAAGAACTGTCCACATTTTGTGCCAATGCCCCAAAGTGACTACTAGGTTCTGGATTAGGACATGAAATCTAATTTGCTCGGTAACAGGGGTGCATGTCGCTAGAAAACCAGAAATTGCTCTCTTCCAAAAAAATAGATAATGACTTTCTAAAAACAATTACCTATTTGATTTCCTATAGGATGTTAGCCACCAGTACTGCTGTTGCACATTGTTGGAACCAGTCGATGATAATGTTTGACTAAACCAAATTGGATCATGAATAATGATAAATTAACATGTACCCCCCCCCACAATGAACAATCTAAGTTTGATAAAACTTGGCATCCATGGATACTATATTTGTTGATGGACAGGTGAGGCTGGGGGGGGACGACACCCTGACTGTTCTCAACCTATTTCTATTCTTTTTCCTTTCTTTTGTTAATGCTTACCGTCCACGCTGAGTTGTTTTTTGCTTTTTACAATTGCGTACTTTTTACTACATATGGTCCTTTTAACTTCACACCATAACTTTCCATGAAGTCACCCTACTCTTTCTGAGGTGATGCCAAATATATGTCGCTAAGGGCCATTAAATTTGTGACGTTGGCTTACATGGGGAAATACTGTTATCACTACTTGGCCTTTTGGCTAAGATCAAGTGTAGTATCTGTTCTTATCAGTTGTCTGGGATAGAACCCTGGCTCCCTTTGCCAGTTGGGGAGCCAGTTAGTAATCTCGGATGTAATTAGCTGGGACTGGTGAGAGTGGGAGGGGGGCCTTTCCCTCCCAGGTTGATTCTGGCCTGGGGCACCAGGCTTGTCCCTGATTTCAGGCGAGGCTCCCCCTAAGCTTTCTAAATTCTGATGCCTTCCTGGTAGGGATGGGACTGCACTGGTCTGGCCAGTGGCCAGCTGCTGTGAAAGAAGCCCATGGTGTATGTGCCCCTGGAGTGGCAGTCCAGGGGTGTCAAAATTCTCATGGTGAGGGAGTTCACTTTGAGTTTTAGGCACCATGGCCACTGTACCATCCACACTTCACACTTTTCTTCACACCTGCCTCTAGAGCTGGGCCTTTTGTAATTCCTGGTCGAACGGCCCGCCATGGTATTACACTATGACATTTATAGCACGTATCCACTCCCCCCCTTATATGTGTGTGTTTGTCACTGCACTTTTGCACAGCACTGTGCGCACTTTTCACGGATTAGTAAGGTGTAGGTGCTCGGGTGCTCGGGCCTGCCCTGAAAGTCTTGGGGGGGAGGGCACATGGCCTTTTGGTCAGGTTCTCCACCTCCCATGGGGTCTCCCTTTGGGGGAGCCCCACTGAGTACTTGGGGTGGCCTTGCTTCGGCAGGCCTCTTGAAGAAAGGGGTCCCCCTGGTTTGGGCCAGGTGGACTGGTAAGTGCCTTAGTCCCTGTCAGGAGCCTTGCAAACCTGGGGGAAAAGGGCAAGGGCCCTTTCTCTTCAGAGGAGGGACAGAAGTACACCCTGTGCACTTTTTTGCGTGATTCAGTTTTGTGTACTCACTTTTTTTTTTTTGCACCGGGTGCCAGTTTTTGTGAGTGTGTGCACTACACCGCGG